GCAATTTTGTACTAAATAGCTTGTATAAGCGATGCACCTTCTTGCTGAAAAATGTACGGCTTTCCAGAGACTGTAGTTTCCATCCATGACTTCACTACGATCTTCAGAATCCAGAAGTAAACCTTCTTTGTGATGATTTCTTTTTTTTTTTTTTAAATAAGGCAGTATAATGTCACTTTCATTGGAGATGACTTAGGATAAACAATTTTGCCCCGTTGGGTTAGTAGAATCTTCTTCGGACTTCTCCGCGTCTGCATACTTTGCGCAATGTCGTAAATGGTTGATCGTGAGTATCTGAAGAACCGAATAATTTCGATCGGTGAACGTACGGCGCGAAGTGCTTCAATTATTGCCACTCTTCGGTGGCACTCCACACTTAATCTTATTAACTCCAATATTTTAAGCTTATACATGTTTCATATAAACATTTGACTTACCCGAGCGCCAACAGTCATCTTCTGCTAAAGTTACATGTAAATGGAAAATTCAAATTTAATTTTGTCTGGATTTAGCTAACGCACCCATATACTCTATTTTAGAATACTGCAATGAGCACCAAGGGATTTACACAGTGAATTCGAGTAAAGAGACATAATCAACGATTTTGAATAAACAGAAACTATGATATACACACACACACACACACACACACACACACACACACACACACACACACACACACACACACACACACACACACACATATATATATATAATATATAGAAAAAATACTTATTCTCAAATGATGGCCAATAATTACCTAAAATGTGCTTCTTTAAAAAATTCCTTTACTTCGTTTATTTTAAAGAACATACTATATTGAAACTGTACTCTGATAACTAAAAGAATATAATTTCGTGTCACTACTAAACCGCTCACTATCGGCCGTTTTGCATGTACTGACATGCACGTGTAGCTACGACTACGCCGCCGATACTACGGAAATGACAAACTTCTATAAATAATTCGTCACATACATCTTGTATATCCTCTTATTTTGAAAGATTGTTTGAGTTATAATAGAATTTTCTATTATAGAGGAATTTATTTTTGATTATTGCTCATGTATCCTCATTTTTATAGATAAATGCGTATGTTATAAATATATGCGCCTGATTCGTGTAAGATTTTTTGCTTAGAGGAAATGGTAAGAGGAATTTCCCGTTTATCGGTAGAATATTCTTTTTGGGGTTCTCGCTATCATAGGAAAAAATTATGTTGTACAATTGTACATTGTAGACATTTTTTTGAAGTATGTTAACAACATTTTTTTCATCTACAGTCACCTTAAATTGCAACCATAATTAACTGAATAAATTTGAATTAAACGAGGCGCCAATGCAAAATGTGTCCGACGTACTGTAAATTATTTATAATAATTCAGTTTTGACTGTAAGCAGGGCCGGCGAAGTAAATTTTTTCTATGTATGGAGTTTTGATTGGAGGAGGGTGGCGAGGGGGAGGGGTGACATTAATAATTGCTTTTCATTTACACGATTCTCGGATAATTCCCACTTGTGACGTCATAGTTCAAATGAATGCGCTTTCCTTTTGCATTCTGAGAAGTGAGATTCAACTGAGTTTTTACCTACAAACTGATGCACAAGATCGAGACTGTGTACTTTATTGAGTCTCATCATAGACTCATTATAAAAATGAGGTTATGAACCTCAATGGCTGTGTTCCAAAATTGACTGCCAGTACTGAAAATCTATAGTTTATGTCACAAGCACTATAGGTTTTCAGTACTGGCAGTCAAGTTTGGAACACACACAAATGTTATTATTAGTAAGCAAGTAGTGACGTCATTAATCTGAGTATTTCATACTCAGCTCACTTCAGACTCTTGTGTGTATGTACATGGAAAGCAACTATTATTGTAGACTGTTCTTTCATGTATGCGTTTTTATTTTCATGTTTTATAAAGTAAATGTTGCTGCTCTTATTTTGTTTTTAGTTATAAAATTGTTCATTAGTAATTCGAAATCTAAATCTTTGGTAATATCCTGATACACGTGTAAAATTGCTATATTATTTAAACGTTTTTGTAACATTGTCGTTCAAAGAAAATTTTTTAAACGCCTAAGCACGAAAAACGATCTTTTGTTAGAATACGACGAACCCGGAATTGTTAATAGTATTTTAATTAATTTAGTGAAAATAATTATGTGTAAATTAAGTGTTAATTAAGTGTTTATTAAGTATTTATTAAGTGTTAATTTAGTGTTTACTTCTGACGAGGTTCTAACGTATGTATGGAATTCTATTAGAAATTTATATGTATGGAGTGCTCCAGACCAACCTTACTGAAATCACCGGCCCTAACTGCAAGAAACTAAAAAAGTTATAAATATTTATTATCAACTAAAGAAAATCTTTTTGAAAAGTCTTTGAACAAATTTTTAAAAATTTTGAAAGGTATTTTCAAAGAGAATTTTTTTTCACTTGTGTTTGTTCAACAAGCTGAATACAGGATTTATTAACATAATTTTGTTAGGAATTTTTTAGTTATTTAGTATACTCTCGAGATTGATACTCTCGACTAATTTTCACTTGTTTTCAGTGCGTTAAAATATTTAGGTAACAAAAGTTTTTACAATGAAGATGAAATTAAAACTGAAGTGAAATTGTGACTATGATTCAAGAACACGTTTTTTTCATATTACTGCAACATTGAAAAACTGATAGTGTTAAAATTTTAATGGTAACTACATTGAGAAGTAACATAAGGATTAAGTTAATAAAATATATAAATTTCATAATTGTCTTATCTTATTTTATTTTCCTATGATAAGAAACCTTACTTTTGGGATGCTCTTCGTATTATTAAATCACTTTTTCAACAATGAGAGTTTTTGCAATACTGTGTATCCAGATATAGTGGACACTAAAGATGTTATTTAAAGTATTTCTATACATATATGGAGTCAAGCATCATGAGCTTGCTATTCGTTAATTTTGATTACGTGACCTGTTTTTAGCGAATAGTAAACTCACAATACTCGACGCTTGACGCTCCTATGTAATGTGATGGCACTTTAGTGGAAAGTCGCGCATGCGCAATTCGACTTTCTATTAAATAACGTGACTTTAGCATTCACCGTACCTAAATACACAGTATTGTAAAAATTCTCTGATGTCTTCCATTAGCTCCTTAAATTGCGTACAAATTCCACAACGTTTACAACGTTATTTTCGACGAATGACTGGATTAAATGCCTAGTTTTCATGCTGTCTTTCTAAATCCTGATAAATGAACGAATACAATTGAAAAATATATATTCATTCTTCGTACGAAATGAACGTCCTTCTGACAACTTGTGTCGTTCCGCTGGTAGCCTAGTGAATCACTCTCACTATTCCCGGGCATATACAGAACTGGGCTCGCTTCAGCCTAGTTTTCATACCGCGGGGTAGATGGAATTTTTTCGTATCATTCAATGGCGTGGAAAACCGCGCGCATGATATAGTCGGCGAGGAATTGAAATTATTGGAAATATCATTAACCTAAAAGAGGGAAACCGCGACTATAGAAAGGGGTGGCGAGGAAGAACGACCCCCCTTGGGATCAATTTGTAATGCGTTATCTTTTGCGACGACGATGACAAGAATGAAAGGCAATTTTAGACGTGCCGCGCGGTGCGATGAAGACGCGCTTAACGAACACGTCCCCACATTAAATTAGTGAAGAACGCGGGGTAGAAACAGGAGAAAGGAGATGGTAGGGGAGAAGCCGGGTCATCGTCGTCGGCATCCCCACAATTTTCATCTCCGTACGCTGGGAGAGCATTTCACGATTCATTATACTAATCGATGTAATTATAAACAGCGATAACAACCGGGTAGACCGATAATTTCTAAGGGCGCTCCCGAGCGCCAATCTCACGCGGGTGATTAATGTTAATATTAAGGCTCATTATGATCAAGATCGCGTACTGGTGTGCTGTGGTCGCCTCGTCTTTGTTTATTTGCCGCTCGGCGCGCATAATGCAACATTAATCCGATGTCTTGACGTGAATGAAAAGCCATTTTGGCCTCGCGCGCCCAAGACGAGAATATTTTGGGAAAGCTGCTCCTGCATGCAATATCTATTTATTTATATAGTAATGGAAGCGAGTTCCTTTTGCAAACGTCGCTTGCGTAACATATGGGATGTTCATATTATATCTCAGAGAGAAAGAGGGAGATTTGAAAATAAAATTTCGAAAATGAGACATTTACCATTTTTTATTATTGCCAGAGTCAGCATCTGTTTTTATTATTTCCATCGCGTATGGTGCATGCACTTTTACGCCTCGCGTTGTCAATCACACGCTCGTATTCTCAAACTAGTTCATGTTTTGCTCTCCTATTTGTTTTCCGATTGGGAAAAATATCAGAGCGAGCGAAACGCGCGATTTATTTTTAAACGACACAAATATGAAGGTGGACGTGGGATAGGTCGGTTGTTCGAGTATACAGAGTCTAGATTTTGACTCCTCGTGATTGACGCGCATTTGAGAATTCGAGTCGGTACGATCGAAAGTGGGTCAATCATGTCACTCCCAGAGAAACACGTCCATCGGGAACTCTAAACAGGCACGGAATCAAAACACCGGTATGGTACAGAAGCTTCCTTTTCCGAGGTTTCAATCGTCCATTCGTGTTTAAGGCGATTCACGACGGTCAATCGGGCTGTACGTATCGGACATGAAGAGCGAGAATTGGATAAGGATTCAACACGAGAGTGAGCGGGAAAATGTAGCCGAAGAATGTTCCGATCTTTCTATTCGAAGATTTATACTATTCTTATGCCGGATCTTTTCAATTTTGTTCGTCACAAAGTGCCAATGTTGAGGAATGAGGAAAATCTTCGCTTACAGAACCTATTTTAATGCGATAGAGAGATTACATCTCCAAGATAAATTTCATATTGATTAGGATTTTGATTTGTTTCTTTCCATTACTAAAGTTTAAAGTAAAAACAAAGAGAGAATGTGGAAGCAGTTAGTCATCCTTACGACTGCCGAGACACCGGGTTGAAGGAACACCAGAACAGGTGGCTTCTCTTGGGGTACGAATCGGTAAAATTCGTTGCCGTCCTTGTACCACTTGACCGAGTACAGCTTCTCGCCGTCCAGATTAAAGTTGCACTCGAGGCTTACATTTTGCCCGAACACCGCGTGCTGCGGCACTATCAGCTCCAGCATCCTCAAACCGTTTGTTTCTGCAACACATATAGGAAGTGGAGATAAGAAAAAAAGCGCATGAGAGTATACGCTTGTGTTGAACGTTACACGAGACAACTCGAGTTTTCAACGGAAAGATCTTGCTCAAGAAAATTAAACTAGACACGGGTAATTGGAGTAACACTTTTCACAACTGTTTTTGTAAAACTTAATTCTACTGTTGAAAACAAATATCATTGGAGTAACAGCAGTTTGTAAAACATCAAAAGAGAATAAAATATATATTGTTCGATATACACATATAAAATATATATCGCATTTAGGATTCATAGCATTCTAATTTACCTTTTCATACATTAAAAAAGATCAAATTTCTTTATCAAAATTTCTCGCATTTTTAAGATTAATAAATTAAATTTTTGTTATTGTTATCATTAATTATTTACATCTTTTTTATCATCCCTTTTTATTTCTCAAATTTCAATTAACTTATTAAAAATTTATGAAAAAAAATTTACATAGTAAAAAAATTGTGTATTTGGAAACAGTCCACTCACATCTGTGTTAACAGTTTGTGTTAAATTTTTTAATATATTCGAGTATTAATTTAACATAATGTGATTATATATGTTATTTAAAGATTTTGTATGAAATTGATATTCTTAGTGTCAAAATGACACAATTTATGAGTAAATGGACAAGTAATATAAAAATAGTGTGTTTTAAAACGTAAATTCTAAGATAAACGAATAAAATACGTGTTAATTTAACTGTTAACATATCATAAATGTTTATTTTCTAAAAAAAAAAAAATGCTTCCCACGATTTGTTTACTAATCGTATCGATATTATTTTTTTTTGTATTTATTCTCTTACATAATATTTGTCCTTCTAACATGTTTATCTTGTGTTAAATTAATAAAAAAAATTTGAATGGACTGTTTGCGACTTGCTTTCTATGTTAAATTCGACACGTTTTTTCCAACTGTGTATAAGAAATTACTTAAATCGCTGATATTGGATTGTATTTACAATTACATTTATCTAGATTTTATCTAGTTTTTTATTATTAATAAAAATAATTTTTACTAATTTTGTGCAATCAAAATATATGATATTCTCTATTCAAAATTCAGCAAATAAAAGGAATTTTATTGTACGCAAAAAGACAAAAGGTTGAATTCCATAATTAATACAACAATTCATATCTTTCATACATTATATCTTTTCATACTTCGAATTGCGCTTAAAGTCAGAAATTGTATTCTAATGTATTTTAAACATATAAGAATAATAGTTATTTGCATTGCCGATCCAATGTTTAAAAATATACATATAATGGCGTATAGGACTTTCTTCCAACGAAAGAAATAAATAAATAAAATTAAGCGCGTGACTCTAAAAGATATAGCGATCCCCTTTGCGAGATCCGTGGACATTCGGATGACGTCATTTGAAAAGGGAAAGCAGATCAAAGAAATCGCGAGAGACGTTGCAGCAATAGGGTGAATAAGGCTGGACTCTGGAGTCCTATGAGGCGTATTTGTCGCGTATCGCGTAACCGCGTAACCAATCAGAAGCGATCTGTTGTTGTGATTTCGTGTTTTACTGATGATAACTGATTGGTTACGCGATTACGTGATATGCAATAAATATACCTTATGGAACTCCAGCCTAATTGTAAGATGTGTGCGACGTGTGTATCTTTTCTGAGAATACTGTTATGATTCGAATAACTGAGAATATTCCGCGAGAATAATACGTAATCCACCGAAACCTATCCCACCATGTGTTTGTAGAAACAGAGAGAGGGGAAGGGGAGGAAGAAACATCTGCGACGAACGCGTCGACGGAGCTCAGTAAAAGGATGATGACGATAACGTCAAGTAAACAGGTGGTTGTTGCGAACAACGAAAACGTCTACGACGTTTATAAACATGATATTAATTTCTTGACACGTTCTTGTTTGTGAGCAAGACGAATTAAATGCTATTTCGAATAATGGCAGAATATCTCTCGCTTATCAATGACACATTATAGAACATTTTACTTGAATATAAGATATTTTGGAATGGCTTTTGAAATTAAAAGTTGCATAATTTTTAGATATTTCTAAAGAAATAAATTAAAAGTAACAATAATAATCTAACAAATGTCAGAGAAATCTGGAATTAATTAATTAATTATTTTTGTTATAAAATAGATCTTTTTTTTATTAATAAAATTAGACTAATTAATTCGTAACTTTTATATAATTCTAATGATATATGTATAATTGATGGAGTTAAATAATTGAAATGTTTCTTTAAATGCGATATTCAATAATACAGAGGCTTCTGAGTCACCATATAGATTTTGATACGACAAACGTCAATAATACAATAGCGAAGCCACTTCAAGACACTGGCTTAAAGTTTTCAGTGCGACAGGTTAAGTGAAAATGTACTTTTGATTGCCGCCTTTACGATGGGCAGAAGATAAGTACAAAGGATAAACACATAGGATAAGCGCAGGGAACAAGTGCGAGCATGGGCGCCGTCAGAATTTTTTTTCCCAACTTCCTTGCTTCTTCTCATGATTATTTCAATTATCTTGCTAATAGCGTACAGTAAAATTTCCTGCTTCTATAACAAAAGTTCTATGAAAATTATAATGAAGCGGTATTTCTCAACTAGACTTTTTTCATCTCGTGGCACCATGGAAAACTAGGAAGACTGTATCTCGACGCTCATGACCGCGTCGTGCAATTTCTGAAACGACAAGGGATAAGAAATAATTCCTGCGCTTCGTTATGTTCGCGCATTACGAAGACGAGAAAACTAGCTTATAGCTTCCGGCAGGATGATCATATTTTCCTGCAAGTAGGACAATACAGCACGATGAAATCAAGAGACAATTTCTAGAATTGAAAACTCCTATTAAATAAATTATGGGAAATTAAAGTTAATTTAACTAATAAATTTAAAAAAAAGAAGACCTTTCTTCTCCACAAATGTAGACAACAATACGTAAATTACGGAATCAATTTTCTGTTAATTACACACATTCTGTTTCAAATTTTTCTTAGAGACTTTAGGATGCACGTATCTAGCGAAAATGCAATCATATTATATGGCAATGCGGTACTGTGAGATATGAATATAATCGTGGCATTGGATCACGTTGCATGTCAAAATAAACAATTGAATAATCATGCGTGTCTACACGTATTTATAGCCCGATCAATGTAGGAGTTTCGACAAAGTTAATTTAAGTACAGAATTTTTTGACGCAGTTAGGTTCCAAAGATGGAATAGAATATAAAACCACAGTTTTAGACCAAAATTTGATATGGCGTCTATCCGGAATTTTGGATTTTGTGTTTTTTCCATTTTGCAGGCGTATTTTGCATTTCTCGCTGAAAATGGTAATAACCAAATTTGTAGAAAATTAAATTCTCTATCTTTTTTATTTCAACAATTTTGTTGTAAAATGATTATTTATTACTAATAATGAGCAAAAAGTGTCAAAAATTAGGACATTGACCCAGTTTTTTCAATTTTTGGACCATTTTTATTAAGAATAAGTGACACATTCAAATGGCAAAGTTGTAGAGGACTAAATTCCCTACAACTTTTGTAGAAACAAGTATTTAAAAAATTATCCATTTTGTATACATATTTTTTTTAAAGCAACTATGTGTTTCCTTTACACCATTTGATTTATCTCATTATTCTGTTCACAAAAGTATTAAGGTACGATAATTAAAAAGTCAACAGTTTACGAGTTATTTAACATTTTGTGTCAATATGTATCAAAATAAAGTGTAAAATATCTCGAAAACTATTGGTTTTTTGGTATCTCTACCTTAATACTTTTATATGCAAAATAATTAGAGGAATCACGTTATCTAAAAAAAATTACATTATTCCATTTAAAAAAGTGGAGGTGACCTTCATATCTTTTTAGCTCTTCCACTTAGAAAAAAAACAACGTGACTAAAACGTGTCTCCCTCGACACCGTTCCATTTTTATTTTAAACATTTTTGTCTACTGGATTTAGTTTTCGAGATATTCTAGTGGATAAGTTAAAATAGGTTACCCTGTATAATTATATACATAGGCTATGTCTGAGAGCGGCAAGTTTATGGAGAGGCAGCATTTTTTTGAAAAGAATTCTAAAAAATAGCCATTATTTGCCAGATGCAACTGATTGAGAAAATTTTCCATCGATCGACGATTATTAGATTCGAGTTAAGATTTCATGATCTTTACAGTCTTTGTGTCGATTTCGTTCTGTCGGAAAGTAATTTAAAAAGGAGGCTATGTCTGCTTTTTAATCGATATATACATAGAAGGGAGTAGGTTTACGATAAAGTTTATTACTATAGTAAAATCCTTACAAAAAAAACATTTTTTTACTGTTCGTCGTGAACACAGACTTGGAACATCCTAATTTGAAGGTTGAATAGGGATGGCAACGATTGAAGTGCATTATAGAGGCGGCAGAAATCTGAATCAGTACTTTTAAAGTTTTATAAATCTGAAAAAAATACGATGTAAAAAATAAATTTGTATTTTGAATCGCATTTTTTTGTGTTTGTAATTTAATCGTATTATATGTTTCTTACATTTCCAAATTTTAAAAGTATAGAAAACGAATTTTTACGTTACATAGATGCAGTAGTAAGAGGCAAACAATATACAATATTTTACTTATTTATAAATATAGAAAATAATTTTTAAGAAATAAAAACGTAAATTGATATCTTGAAAATAATTTATTATCTGCGTCTAAAATGAGGTAATTTACAACATAGTAGTGTCGCTGCACTTGTTTATAGCGCCGAGACACTACTGGATCTCTAGATCAGAGGGGAACATTCAACGTGTTAGTCAAGTTTTATAAAAATTATAATGAGGGTCAGTTCATATCCTCCTCTTATGAGTGTGAAAACCATAATTCTCTCTTTGGTTTAACAATTAATTGATTTTTTATTTGACTTGATTTTTATGTAAAATCGTGTTTTGTAATATTTATTCGCCAATTTAATGAAAA